ACTCGGATACAGGGTTGGAGGTGTGGGGGAGAAATACGTGGTGATATTTTCCCGAATGGCCTCGTCCAACAGTGCTGGTGACGGGAGAGATATGGCTGTTTGCGGATTGGATCCGAAGATTGGAGAAGTAATTTATAACAAGTTTACATTAAATAACTTGATGCCTTCTGATCATGCACGGACTTATATACATTGCAGTATTCTGGAGTCCCGGAAATTAATTTATTCCAACAGAAGCGGAATTTACCGACACGAAATTATTCAATCCAATATTTTCCATTTAGTTTCACTTGCTAAGTTAGAAAATTCGAGGTAAGTAATTCGATCGAGGGCCGTCTCAAAGATACTTTACTGTTACCTATTTGTTAGTAACTAAAAAAGCACTTCGAATATTTGCCTGTAATAAATGCACTTTTAGACAGTCTCTTGAATCTGACTAAAATCAATAGCGATTATAACTGACTGCTTTTTCTGAAACTTTGATGTATGACTTTTGTTTATCGACGGTTTCCGTAGCTCACTGGTAACTTTTCTGATTAATTTTACCCAATTAAACTGTATATATAGATAAGTGGATTTCTCATAAACAAGTCACTCCACTGCGGCTATAAGTGGTACCGAGCGAGGCAACAAAACTTCTCAAACACAGATTTCTGTCAGGAAATTTACCCCGTTGCTGAAACGCGCGTTAACGTCTTCGGTGCAGTTTTTTTGTTTTGGACGCAGTTATCCTCCGTATCACTCTAAGATTATCAGCTCTTACTTCACGTTAGTGTCGTTAACAATGCTCGTGAAAGTCCCTGCAACAGAATTCACAAATCTAGGACTTTCTTCCGTGAAAGTCCTATAAACGATATCAAGGTAATCACGGATTTAGATGAGATGGCAATCTCAGGACAGCGCTTAATAAGTCCATATTGTACAAATAAACAAGTATGAGTTTTAAAAATATCAAATTCCCGAAAGTAATTCTGGCCTATATTTGTAAATTTCGGAAAGAATTGTCCGAATGACTTAAATGTTAATGGTCACTCACGTCTGTTGTAGTTGTAGTCCGAGGTAACGGCCAAGTGTTGGTCTCTGGCTTCACTCTGGGTTCGATCCAGTCACAAAATGGGTACCATAAATTTTTTGGAGGGAGGGAAATTCGATTAGGAGTGATCTGGATGTCCGGCCTGGATTGTGTCAGGAGTTGACTGTTCATTATTATATGGTGTCGGAAAACGACAATGATTACATAATGTGAAGACAAAAATGACAGTTTTTCTTTTCTTTCTGACATGGGTAATATAGAGAGGAGTTTAAACAAGATGGGAAAACAATGTTTTAAATCATAGCTATGTATTTTTTCAGTTCCACTTCTAAGAAAGTTGAAGAGCAGCTATAGACATGGGACCAGAGTTAACAGCATTCGAAAAAAATAAATACCCCAGGATATTGATGATAATTACGTTTAGTGATTAGTAATTAGTAAGAATTATCACCACAGCACTCCGGACAGATCCGTAGGTGCTTCGATATCCTCCTCAAAAGCTCCACAAGTGTAAAACGACTGATGACGCCTGTTTTGTGTTGGTTAATAAAAAGTCATGTACGCTTTAGTGAAATGTTCATTTCTTGCAGCTGCAGGCTGCACCCCCATGTCGATCAGTCTAGACAGGGATACGGAGTCATGTCCTTTGGCGTGCTTCCCTGTAAGGTAAGTGCTGCCCATGGCTTGGAAACATCGCTTCTGTCCAGCCATGGCAACCACAGTATCAGCAAGACAATCTGCACGCTCGTTCCCTTGAACACACTTATTACCTAGGATAAAGATAAAGGTTAGGGCAAAGGGCTTAGTGCTGTAATTCAATCTTGCCTGATAAAACCAGCTTGAAATATGTAACGCATTGTCATTGAGTCACTAAACTATGCACATGTCTGTGAACTCTTGAGTGCCAAGCCCTGCTAATGTCCTCGTAACAGCGATAGTTTCCGTTGTAAGGCTATACTGGTTGTAATAGAAAAGGCGCAATTCATCTCCTTGATGATTTTCACCCTTAAGTTTACTGTGATTTACAAGTAAAGAGTTTGACGAAGAAAACATAAAAATGCCCCGACAGCTGTTAATATCAAGAGTTGCAATAAAGTTATAAAGGAGAAATAATTAGAGATAAGAGATAACGCTAGTATCAGAAGTTATAAAGGAGAGATAATTATAGAGAAGGGATACAGCTAGAATCTACAGTTATAATGGAAAAATAGTTAGAGAATACAGATACCGCTAGTTTAAATATTTATAAACAAGAAAGAATTAGAGAGATGAGAAACAGTATCAACCGTTATAAAGGAGAAAGAATAAGAGAGAAGATATACCACTAGTCTACACAGTTATAAATGAGAAAGAATTAGAGAAAAGAGGTCACGCGTTTATGTATAAACTGGTATAAATGAGAAATAATTAAAAAGGACAGATACCGCTAGTGTAAACAGTTACACAGGAAAAAGAAATAAAGAGAAGAGATACCGCCAGTGTAAATAGTTATAAAGGAGAGAAAATTAGAGAGAGAAGAAACCGCTAGTATAAACAGTTCATAAAGAAGAAATAATTAAAGAGAAGAGATACCGCTAGTGTAAACAGTTCTAAAGAGAAAAACGACGAGAGAAGGGACACCCCTATTATCAACACATACTTAGGAGAAAAAAAAGAAGGCAAACGGGATACTGCTAATATTAAAAGCTCTAAAACTATAAAACGATATCGAAATGAATGGAGGATTAGAATGCACACTTTATGTGGCCTCAAAAGGACTGGAGGATTAGAATGCACACCTTATGTGGCTTCTAAGTGACTGGAGGATTAGAATGCACACCTTATGTGACTTCTAAATGAATGGAGGATTAGAATGCACACCTTATGTGACTTCTAAATGACTGGAGGATTAGAATGCACACCTTATGTGACTTCTAAATGAATGGAGGATTAGAATGCACACCTTATGTGACTTCTAAATGAATGGAGGATTAGAATGCACACCTTATGTGACTTCTAAATGAATGGAGGATTAGAATGCACACCTTATGTGACTTCTAAATGAATGGAGGATTAGAATGCACACCTTATGTGGCTTCTAAATGAATGGAGTTGTTTCCATAGCGAGGCGCATACGCCATTTGGAGGTGACAAGCTCGATTCCCGGCACGGTAACAAAAACTTTTGATTTTTATGTTGTCTAATGCGTCCTTCTATCTTTCTACTTCTTTCTATGAGTGCTAATCAATACAATGTGTGTTTGTTTATTAAACATATGGACAAGAAACGTGCAAGAATAATGTAACGTTATATGTTGGTGGTGCTCTTCAAGTTAAAGTTAAAGTACAGAGGATCGAAATCATTACACCTGGTTTTTATCCAATACAGCTCGGTCTCTCTAAGCAGGGTGAATAGCCACCAGCTAAAAGCATCGCACAAAGCTCCGGTGACGATCCCCAGGGATCTCCTTAAAAACTGCAATTGTGAACTCAACGGCGCTGCCGTGAAACGAACCCACGTCCTTCAGAGCGCGAGGCAAACGGCTTGACTACTTCACCATGGAGATCCCAGTTGGAGCTTCTACGTAAAGAGATAACCTGGGTGAAAACTGATCAAGAGCTCCATGAAATGGCCAAAGAATATGTTTCGGGAGAACCATTACAATCGACTTTGAGTGGCAGAAATAGCACTTGATGATGATTGATTAATGTTCAACCCTACCAGGACATCACACTGAGCGATAAACACCTGGTGACACCAAGTGCCACCATTCGGACAAGGATCGCTTCGTGGAGAGGTGCCACAAACCCTGTTCAACCGTTAGGTTATACAAGGGCCGCTGGCAACAGCCAGGGCGGGGCATCAAAAGTTCGTCCCATATGGTGACGGAGGATATACGAGATGATGATGATGAAGGCCTAATATTTATAAAATCAGACTTGGTCCTGGTTTCTTGGTGCCTGTTATGGCGTTGATAGTCCATATAAACGTCATTCTGGCTGGGAAACGTCTGCAAAGAGATTGAAAGTAAATTAAAGATCCATTTTCACGCATTAGGTGCATCGGGCATATTGGAAGAACGTCCCATATATTTACAGACTAATCGGCACTGGGTGGCTAATGTGGTCAGCATTACGCCAGCCGTCTTTACTTCCCCAGTAAAAACATCCTGGTACCCATTTTCGGCTGGGCCGACCTGCGACGCCCGGCACCTCGATAAAAATCCACGCAGCCAGTAGTGGGTTTCAATCGCGGTATGTTGGAATTACGAGTCGGACTCACAATGCCCAAGCTACGGACGCCTTGTGTTTATGGTGTTCTCCTCTTGGTTCAGTTGTCTCCTAATTTGGCCAGGCGTATCTAGAAGGAGAGCGAGCTTCTCAACATAACGTCCTTTTAGACCATCATTTATAGTTTTACATGTTTAAATATTTTACTTTTTCTAGTTTCGTATTATTGTGAATATTTCGCTTATATATAATTAAAATATCAAGAAATGATATAAACCCGAACGAAAAGTATATTAGCAAGCTTCACAATATAACAAATACAAACAAAACGAACGTTGCGGCTATTGAACCTTCATCAGCACATACACATTAAACAATACTACATAGACACACAAAATCACTTAGGTGGTATCTCGATGCGGCCAGGTCGGTGGGTACTCAGCAGAATATATAATTAAATGCTTGCGGCGTGCAGTTAGCTTTTAAGACCCGTTTGGCCAGACTGAGCCACAGCAACGCGTCGCCGGGTACAGCTAGTAGTTGCAAAAACAATTTTAACAGACCCTCCATGTATCTAACTGTACAAGAGGCAAGAGGAGCTTTTATGGCACTAGTGAATTTGTGGAGATCAACGGAATTTAAAACTAATACTACACTTAAAATTTTGTATTCTACTGTCAAATCTGCACTGTTCTATGGAGCGAAAACATGGAGAACAACTAAGGCAATTACTAATAAACTACAAACATTCATTATCT